GATTAAAAACCTGTCCTTATACATGGTTAAAGTTGATAAGGTCAGCCTTTTCTTTCAGAGAACACACTGTTTAGTTTATGGTAAGTTTCTTAAGCGCCTGATGGAAAGCGATGATATATCCATCATATACTATAAACAACCATCCTTTACATATAAAACCGACTATAGGAAGACTATTGATGATTTATGGAGTACCAATTTAAATACTCAGTTAAAGAAAACGACTGCAAATGTTGTTTTTGGATTGATGGAGAAGGGGAAACACACGGCTCAAAAATCGCAGGTGTTTAGTAGTCTGAAGGAGGCGTTAAACTATCAGAACGAGTATGGAGGCAAAATTAGCATACTTCACGAGGTGGCTTACGATGAAGATGATGAAGAATATTATGTGCCTAAATATTACATACTAACGGTTTCAGACACCGCGGTTTTAAAGAATGGCTTCAAGTTTATTAAGGAGTTGCTACTGCAAAACCATAATTTTAAAATGCTTATGGATTACAGGAAGCTGAGGGCAAATAAGGTTGAAGTCTTTAGCGTTAAGACCGATGCCTTTACGATATTAAGTAAGGAGTTGGAGAAAGCTAAAACGATATTAAACTTCGGTGATGAAATAGGAGACTGGAGACATTCTAAAAAGGATTTTACATATCCAGAGGGCAATATCTATTTGAAAAAGAACGACCTGATTAAAATACCTGAAAGGGTTAATGAAACGCTAGAAGTTGCAGATGAATACGATACACCTGCTATTGTGGAGCAGATTAAAGAAAAGAGAGTGGTAATGATTAGAGCCCTTTATGCAGGTGCGGGTAAGTCATATATACCTGAATGGATGGCACAGAATGGTTATAGGGTGCTGTTCGTGATAGGTACAAACAACCTAACCCAAGAAGTAAGCGGAGAAGCCATAACTGTCAATAAGTTTTTTGCCATTAACTTCGGCGAAGAGAAACTACAACCCTTTGACTATTCAGAGTATGATGTGGTAGTATTTGATGAGATTTATTTTAATGACACCTATAAGCTATTTAGGATAAAAGAGTTTATAAAAAACAACCCCGATAAGATAATTATAGGAGCAGGTGATGTATTCCAATTAGAACCTGTGGCAGACACCACCAACACGAAAGACCACGAAGAGTATATGAACGACTGTATAGACCAAATGTTTAAATACAACATCTGGCTGAGGATATGTAAGAGGTTGAAGTCAGAAGAGGACAGAGTTAAATTAGGAAGTATAAGAAGGGACTTATTAGAAACCGATAAACCCATAAAGGAGATAGTAGAAGGATACTTTAGATATACCGATAAGATAGAGATGTGCGAGAACAATATAGCCTATACAAACGAGACCTGTAGAAAAGTAGCTAGCGAGATTAGGAGGATGAAACAATTAGGAGAAGATTGCATAGTAGGCGACCGAGTTATATGTAAAAAGTACCTGAAGTTGAAGAAGGACAAATGGAACGCCAACATCACATACGAAATAACGAGGATTGATGAGGAGAGGGTGGTGTTAAAGAACATTAAAACGGAGGTGGAGCAAACAATGTTAAAGAAGTTTTTGAAATCCCATTTTGTATATGCTTACTGTTATACAGCGCATTCTAAACAAGGGTGCTCGGTAAATGATGATATAATTATATACGATTGGCTACGGCCCTACTGTAGTAGGAAGTGGATTTGGGTTGCAATCACGAGGTGTCGCGACTTAAGTAAAGTAAGGTTTTATAAATACGATGTTAATAGTATAGCCGAGGAGGAACTAAATGAATACTTTAACAACAAGGTTAAAAACTATATGGAACAGGATAGAGAAGCAAAAAGAGAAATGAAAGCATGCGAGTATGTGAATGTAGGGTGGCTAAAGGAAAGGATGAAGGGACACTGCGGACACTGCGGAGAAGCTTATGTCATTGAAAAGATGGATGGAGTTATAAGAAGCAACTTGACAGCAAACCGTCTAGATAATAATTATGCGCACCATAAGGAAAATTGTGAGGCTATGTGTAATCTATGCAATTGTAGTTTTCATTAATTATAATATAACCTTTATTATTATGAGTAGTGATAATAAAGATGATATTATAAGTAGTATATATTACGACAGAAGTGGTTATGGCTCGGTTAATACAACTTATCAAGATGCAAAAAAGAAGGATAAAACAATAACAATTAATGATGTTAAAAAATGGTTTGAGAAGAATGTTGAAAGGAAAAAACAACTGTCGGGGTATAATTCTTTTGTAGCCCCTTACTCGGGCTATGAATATGAGATTGATTTGTTTTTTATTACTAAGAATGACCTACCTAATCAGAAGTTTAATGTGGGGTTGATAATGATAGATGTATTTAGTAAGTTTATGGCCGTAGTGGCTATTAAAAGTAAAGACCCGCCAGATGTTTTAGCAGGGATTATGGAAGGGATACAGAAGATGGGAGGGAAACCACAGAGGTTTTATTCAGATGAAGAAGGTAGTTTGACCGGCAAGGTTGTTAATGAGTATGTGCAGAAGGAGAACATAGAAATGCATTTAACTCGGGGACATCCTAATTTCGCTGAAAGGGGCATCAGGACATTTAAAGACAAATTATTCAAGAGAGTGGAGGCGGATGAGAGAAGAGGAAAGGAGAACATTCAATGGAATGATTACATATTTGAAATTGTATTAACATACAATAATACAGACAAGCATTCCGCGACAGGTATGACACCCCAACAAGCAAGAATGAAAAAGAATGAACTAGAAGTGAAATCACATATTGTGCTACAGTCAGTATCTAAAAGGAAGTATCCCGAACTTGATATTGGGGATAAAGTTAAGATATATAGGAAGAAAGATAAGTTGGATAAGGAGAGGGTGAGTGTATGGTTGCCTACAGTCCATACCATAAAAGATATAAAGAGTAGTATGGGACAAAAGTTTTTTTACTTGCAAGATAAGAGTAAGCCGTATTTACGGCACGAGTTGCTGAAAGTTTAAGACATTAACAAGATGTTTTAGAAAACTACTTAAAGAAATAACACCTATATATAGTATATATATGACGATGACCGAGACACTGACAGAGGCAGAACAAGAAGAAATTATTAATAAATTCTTAGGTGTTATAGAAATGAAAACAATTATTAATGATAAGGTGAGTATATGTAAAAAATGTAAGTTTAATGAACAAAATATGAGTTTGTATAAACTAAATATACCTAATCCTATTGTTTAACATATTTGTAAATATAATTATGAAGAATGTGAAGTATGTAAAACTTTAAAACAGTTTAAGGATAATGTTTATGATTGTAGTATGGAAAATTTTGAAAATGTGGTTAAAGCAGTTGAAGATAAACATAAATACAATATAACAAATTACACAGAGGAGAAATTAGATTCACAAATATATTATTATGTTAAATTAAATCCATTCCCTACATTTGAGAAGACATTACAATGGTCCAAAAGTGTAATACCAGAATGCAAATTTTACAATAATGAATTCTACAATGAGATTAAAATGTTATATTATAACTCATTTAATGTTGATGAAAAAGTAAAAAACTTTTACAGCAAACAGCGAAACAAAATAATCAATGATTATGATAAAAATGTAGATGAAGAGAACAATACGAAGAGAAAATTTGTTAATCATCTTGAAAGGCAATTAAGTAAAGTTGAAAGTGTAATTTATACGATTTTAACATATATAGATACAAGGGAAGCATCTAACAAATTAAAATTTCAATTGTATTCAAATGAAGCTTATAAATTTATTAATAAACGCATAGCAGAAGTACATTATGAAGATGATTATTCATTTGAAAGGTTTATGGATGCTAGATATCCATACTTACCATCAGTACCATATAAGAAACAGAAACCAGTAATAGAGGACAAAGATTATATCAATATTATGGATGACTTCTTAACATAAAAAACTCTACAAGGGGGTACGCCCCGTTTTACTGGGTAAGATACTACATAAATTATGTAATATTTTATCGGGTTAGGGTTAGGTTTTGCATAAGGTTATGGGTATAGGGTGGTATGTAGGTGGTTGGTTGAGTTTGTGTGGTGGGGTTTGGGATGAGAAGTTCTGTGTTGGGTATGTGTAGGCTTTGATGATTGGTGAGGTGGGTTTAGGGGGCGGGTTGGGCGGTTAATTTCGGGGCAAGGTCTAGTGCTAGCTCCCTAAACTATGGGAATTATGGCATGTTCCTTACTATGGGTAATGCAGGATTTATATCATCAACCGTATCATAAGAAGCACGCAAGATTATTTACTATAGATCCCTATCAGGGAAAGTTGATTGAAGCCTTGAACAAACGCCCAGCCAGGGAACCTCTTGAAGCCGTGGTGCCCTCGAAACCCTCATACCCTCAAAGCCTCAATTACTTCCAGGGACCCCCAAGGCTTCAAATCTTAAGACCCGAAACGGAGGATGGTCCCGGCGCTCCAGCACGGCTTCGGGGTTTTGGGGTTTAGGGGCTGAGGGAGTTGCTGAAACCCTAAACCCTAAACCCTAAACCGCTTTGCCATTTCAAGGCTGGTGGGAGCTCGAGGCGCTCCTACCTGAGGGCACAGACCTCGAGATTCTCTTCAGCCACTACGACATCGAATACAAAGAGGCAGACTCCGAGGACGGTTTGGGGCCTTAGGGTTTAGGGTTTAGGGTTTTAGTATTCGGGTTTAGGCTTGCAGATTTTGAGGACAGGCTCTTCTTCGACATCATTGCAACTTCATGGCCTTCTGCCGAACGCTTCTTGCAGAGGTGTCGCGATGAGGGTCGCAAGGTCTTGGTGAATTGCCAAGCTGGCCACAACAGGTCAGCTTGTATCATGATCTGTTCCTTTGGCATAGTTGGGTAACATTTTACATTTTTCGGGGTACCTAAACTCAATAAGGAATAACACGTAAAAATCTTTATACTATACCAACCCTAAACCCTAAATCCTAGACCAAAACCCTAAACCCAAAACCTTAAACCAACCATGAGCTAGGTTGGCTCATGGCCCGGGAAAACTTTTCCTTGTTGGGAGCCCTGGAGCATGTGCAGCTGGGTTCTTGTTGAGCGTCCTTTCAAGGGTTCCTAGAACCCCCATAGTACCCTTCAAAACAAACCCTGTCGTAGAACCCCATAGTACCGGTTCTAAAGGGATAAGGGTTAAGGGTTCAGGGCTAGTAGTACTATTTCTGGGTTCTTGTTAACGAGCTTCATTTAAGTCAGCACAATCGGGGATCGAGAGCAAAATAACAGGGATTCCTGATTCTGGTAACTTACACTAAATTCCTTAACAAAAACCCAAGAATAGTACCACTAATCCTAAACCCTAAACCTTGATAGTAGCCTATACAGAACCCGTTCAGGAATCCTTAAAACGAGCCTAAACCCTAAACCTTGAACCCTAAACCCTATATCAATATCCCTAAACCCTAAACCCTATATCCCTATATCCCTAAACCCTAAACCCCATATCCCTAAACCCCATACCCCTAAACCCCAAACCCTAGAACTCTAAGCCCAGGCAGAGGCTCCGGGGGACCGTGCTCTCCAACCACGGCTTCCGGCTGCAGCTGGTGCGCTTGGCCCTGCAGCTGGGGAAGCTGGGAGGAAGCCGAGGGTTTAGGGGTTTTAGGGCTTGGGGTTTAGGGATATAGGGTGTTAGGGTGTTAGGGTTTGGAGTCTAGGGTTTAGGGTTTAGGGTTTCGGGTTTAGTGTTGGGGTTTAGGGTATAGGGTTTAGGGAAGCTGCGAGGAAGCGACTGGTGTTAGGGTTCCTTTAAAGGATCTAAGAGGGTTGAGGGTTTCGGGTTCCTTTAAAGGGATCTATAGGGCTTCTATAAGCCTATAAGGGATGAGGGAGATGTAGGGTTAAGGGCTTAGGGTGGGGAAGCTGGGAGGAAGCCACTCGCCAAGAGGCCCCACAGGGGAACCCGTTAGCCCCAATGGCCCTCATGGCCCTTCCGGGCTTGGGTTTAGGGTGTTAGGGTGTTAGAGAGTTTGGGTTTTAGGGTTTTAGGGTTTTAGGGTTTAGGGTTTAGGGTTTTAGGGTTTTGGGGATTAGGGTGTTAGGGTTTTAGGGTTTTGGGGTGTTAGGGTTTAGGTTTTAGGATTTTAAGGTTTTAGGATTTTAGGGTTTAGGGCCCAAGCTTTAAAACTCCCAAACCTGAAATCCTAAACCCTCAACCCTAAACCCTCAACCCTGAACCCTGAACTCCAAACCCCAAACCCTAAACTCTAAACCCTGAACCCTGAACCTCGGGAGGAGCCGACTTTCAAAAAGCCCGAGAAGAGAAGGCCTCCGAGCCGTTGGCCGGCTCGGGGGGCCTCCAGAAGATCATCAACACCAAACGTCTCAGCGTCACTGGGCTCTTCTTTAGCGTCATTTTTGAGGGTTCAGGGCTTAAGGGCCTAAGGGTTTAGGGGTTTAGGGCTTAAGGGTTTTGGGGTTTAGGGTTTATCTTTAGGGTCCGCCTCTTCAGGGTTCGAAAAGGTACTATGAGGGTGCTATAGAGATATTACGAGGGTAGAACAAGGGTACTCTGTCGGTGGTGGTGGGATGTGGGGTTCTTCTTGCGGGTTCCTGGAAGGATTCTAAGGAGCTTCATTTAAGTTAGCATAATCGGTACCTCTGGCAAACTAATCTGGTTTCCGCATTACAATACCTTTATGATAACTTAAATAAATCTCTTTATTAACAAGAACCCAGGTCAAGTACGGTCACAACTCCAAAGACTTCGAACGACAGCCTATCAAGAAGGCACTGAAAGAAGCCTCACTGATTGATCGGAATTCGAAGTCAGTGATCTCCAATGAAGTGAGTGGACTCGTCAGCCAGCGCAAACTGTCCCTTGAACTCGTTGCCTGCCTGACGCACTGGAACAAGAACTTTCTCGACCACTACGAGTACACAGCAGATCCGCCGGTGGTAGTTGGCCGCGGCTTTAGTGGAGATGTAGTGCTGTGTCAAAGGCGCAATGCGCGAGATTTTGGAGGCCGACCACAGAACAGTCTGCGCTGTGTGAAGCGCTTCAACTTGACATCCATGAAACCGGATCATTTAGAGAAGCTGAAGAACGAGGCAGTCATCTACCTTTCGCTAGAACATCCCCACATCGCACGTCTCTTTGATGTCTACGAAGATGATGAGGAGCTAAGCTTGGTCATGCAGTACTGTGGAGGTGGCACCCTTCAAGACGTCCTACGGAGCAAGGGGCCATTTCCTGAGCCAGACTTCAAGCAAGCTGCTGTCCAGATGCTACGGGTTCTGAACTACGTCCACCGAGTTGCTGGGCTCTTTTCAGGATCCTTATTTTAAGTTACCATAACAGGATCTATAGTAAACTTGAAATGAATTCCTCCACAAGAACCCATGAATAGCTCTTCTAGCCCGGCAGCCCTTATAGAATCCGTTCAGGAGCCCTTCAGAAGGACCCTAAGCAAGAGCCCAGGCTGGCATCGTGCATCGAGACATCAAGCCGCGGAACTGGGTCTACGAGGCTGAGCGAAACATCCTCAAGCTCATCGACTTTGGCTTTTCCGCCCGGTCCTCAGGGGTTTAGGGTTTGGGGTTTAAGGTTTCTGCTTTAAGGTTTAGGGTTCAGGGTTTAGGGTTTGGGGTTTAAGCTCTCTAGTTTAGGGTGTGGGAGGATTCATGTCTCGTCCTCTTTGTGGGAACTTGCCCTATACCCTAAGCCCCGAATCGTGCAAGAAGGGATCCCTCGTTGAATCCTTTGAGAATGTTCCTTTGGTGTGATGCAGGCTAGCCTTGTCCACCAAGTGTGTCTTCTTCTCGGAGTGCATATATATATATATGCATGCATATACGTGTACACATATTATACTCACACATACATACATACATACATACATACATACATACATACATACATACATACATCTTACACGTGCAGCAGGATGTGCGCTGCCATGAAGTTCAGGATGTTCAATCTTGCGTTGCTGCAGGGTGCAGATCAACTTTGGGTTTAGGATTTAGGGTCTAGGCTTTTGGGTTCAGGGTTTAGGGTATCGGGCACATGCAGCCGTTGCCTGCGAAAGCAGGATAAGAACGAACAACGCAGGTCGGACAGGAGTCTAAGACGAGAGCAGGGGGGAATAGCTTCTAAGTAGCTTGAGGCAGCATTGTATTTCCCGTGCTGAGGCCAAGTGCTTGATGCTCCACGAAGGAGAGCTGGAGAGTCCATAAAACCTAGACCCACAGACAGACCGAAGTGCATGGTCAGGACGTGGGGCCAAGATCGAGGGAAGCAGCCTGGCTTAATGGATTGTATTTATACACTACACTATATATAACATTATGTATGTATACACAGGCAAAAAAGACTTGTAAATATTGCATATACACTACGATATAGCGCAATGCACTGTAACAAAGTGTGATGTAGTGTAATGTGTTCTAAAGTAGTCCGATGTAACGTGACGAAAATATCATATATATATATGTATATA